AGACTGAACACAGGAACGTTTCTACCAGGCTGCTGCCTGGTTTGCGGGGACCGCAGCCCGGCTCTCACGGTAAACACAGCTCGGCAGAAGGCTTTTGCACAACCAAACCATCCCAGGTCTTGCATACAGGATGAGGAGCCAGCCTGCACATAGGAGCTGCGCATAGGGCTAGCTCTCCAGCTAAGGGCCCGGTCAGCTTGCACAAGGAACCAAAGCGGGATAGCTGAGAAAAGCTGCTGGCTTGGCAGGGCTCTCCCCGGAGCGAAGAAGAAGGGGTGGGGTTGCTTTCCAGGTGCAGAAAGGAAAGCAGCCTCTTTGATCGGTGGGCTGGACAGGTCAGCCTGCCCCTCTCGGGACCTCGCTGGGCCTGGCTGCAATCTGGGCTGGGGGTGCACCAGGGCATCAGCAGCTTTTCCTCCTGCCCTCGGGACCAGGGCTGTAGCCCAAGCCAGTCCCCAGAGGCCCACAGCTCCCCTGCTCTGCAGGAAGAGAAACGGGACTGGAATTTCCTGTTGTCACAAGGCAGCTTTGCCCTCCTCCCCCACTGCTCTCAGGGTCACGGGAGTCTGCTGCAAGATTAATAATTAGTTACTGGCTCACCACTTGCCATGGCAGCAGGGCGAGGGGCAAGGTGAGTCTCCGGGGTGGGGGATGCTACACCCACAGCACCTGCTTCTGCGCTCCTTCCCGAGCCCAAGGGGGATCCAGTCGGGCAGGGGGTACTCTGCAGGGCCAGCCCCAGGGCTGCCCCTTTCCCCAGGCCTGGCGAGGGGATGTATTTTGGGGGCGGGCTCGATCTCCCAGGAGGGCCCTGCACCAGCTCCCATCCCCTTCTCCGTCTCCGTGTGAACGCTTCCTGCGGCTTCTGCTTCATGCCTGGAGATGCTGATGTGCTTGGGCGCGTTTCTCTCCGCAGAGGATCCAGCAGGCTCCCTGGAGCCTCCCGGATGCGCTCAGGTAACAGGTTGAGGCTACCCTCAACCTCCTTCTGCACCAGCCAGCCTGGTCCAGCGTGCCGTGATGGAGAGCGCGCAGCCGGGGACGAGGGCAGGGACCTCGCACCAGCCTCTGCCAAGGAGAAGGGAGGAAGCAGAGGCCTCCACGTGGCTTCTGCGCCTGGCTGCTAGGCTGGGATGTACACCAACAGCAGCAGCAAGTTCGCTGCCACGCTTCGCAACCTGCCGCTGGCTCCCAGGCCTGGTGCAGCGCCACTCACCTCCCAGCTTATTCAGGACGCGAGTGACCGCGTTGGAGCAGCCTTCGCAGGTCATGTCCACGAAGAACTCGTGCTTCTGAAATGAGGAGGAGGAGGAGAGGTTGGAGATGGCAACGGGGCCCGTCTCGCCTGGGGACTGCAGCTCACAGCGCGAGGCTGCTCCTCTCCAGAGAGCAGAGAGAAGAGCAAAACAGGCTCCTGCCGCACCCCCCAGGGCCTCTCGGCATCGCCCCAGGTTTCTGCAAACCGTTCCCAAGCTTTTTAGGCTGGAGGCTCCCCTCGTTAGGCTTGCTAAAAAACACCAGCTTTTCTTTTCACTCTTTTTCTGACTGCCAAAACCTGCTAGAGCCACTCTTCCGTTGCAAAGGCCTCGGGGAAACCGCAGCAGGGCAGCACGGTTTTAGCGCCGTGAATTCCTACCGGAAAACTCTGGGTTTATCGTGCCAATCGTGTGCACGGCCAACCGCGTGGCACCCCGCAACGCCCCAGAAAGGGTCTCCAGGCACCCTGGGCGCCACATCCCTGTGGCTGAGCATCACTGCCCTAAGCTGCCTTGGTACATTGTTGTGTTTTCCCACGCTCCTGTCTGCAACCGCTTCTTGCCTCCTTTTAGGTAAGAGCTTTCGGGAAGGGACCCCGCTCTGCACGACCGCGGCTGCTGGCGGGGCTAATCCTGCACCTCCGCACGCGCCGCAGGGACCACCTGGGCACCCTGAAACGGCGGCCTCGTGGAGATGCCGGTTCAACACCGTCCCCACCAACTATTGCAAAGGACAAGGAGACACACGGTGGCCTGGGGCCACGAGCCGGCGCTCCCCTCCCTCAGCCCGGGGGGGGGGGTCTGCCCTGGGGCAGCTCCCAGGAGGATGCTCAGCAAGGGGGTGCCAGCTCTGCCCACCCCACCCCACCCCACCCGGGGCCGGATGCGGATGCGGATGCGGGTCGGGGCCGGCGCGGGCACCCACCGGCATGGCTGCGACGCGGCAGGATCCGG